TACTATAAGATATATGGGGTCTAAGGAAAGTCCTAAGTCCAAGCCAAGTTGGAAAATTACATAATAGACTAAAGTTGCAAATGAGTACGTGCAAGACCTCAGTTTGGACGATCATATCTACATGGATATAACGAGTTGTATGATGCACAACCTATCAAATTAAAGCTCTTTGAGTCTAGTTTCCAGAGTGTCAAACCGTTCATCAATTGGACATTTGTACAAAAGGTTATCATTGATTTACTGAAGGCTGGTAATGCTGTGTTCTGGGGCAGTGTAAATCGCAAGTACCAAATGCGATTTACAAGTCACATTTGACACCTGCGACTTGCCTGGACAGATTGCAAAACGCGAGTTTCAGCCATTTTTAACACATTTGGAGCTATGGAGCTCGGATTTGGGCGATTTCAAAGGGGGGTTTTTCACGATTTCGACTTGGGTAAGTGTTCTATATCCGGAAGTGATTACATTTCATAAATGTATATCAATATTCAACGTTTATTTCGGATTTGGATGAAAGAAATTGTAGTTTTTGTAAAACTTTCCAAAAATAAAAATTTAGGATTTGAAGGTCCATTTGACATCGGAATTCGATAATTTTTGTATGGTTGAACTCGTATCGGAATGGGTTGTCAGATTTTATGAGTTTCGTCGGATTCCGAGACGTGGGCCCCACGAACAATTTTGAGCTAAATTTCGGATTTTAATTCGGAAAATGTGTAAATTCATATGGAATTAGTTCCTACGATTCGTGTTGAGTATTTTGAATTATTATGACTAGATTTGAAGCTTCGGACGAATTCGCGAGGCAAAGGCTTGTTGGAAGTTTGAATTGGTAGCAACGCGAGGTAAGTGTTTGGTCTAACCTTAGCTTGAGGGATTAGGAGTTGTGTCCTAGTTGTTATGTGTTATTTGTTGAGTACGACTTATAGGCATGGTGACGGGTATCTATACGTTGGTGTCAAGTATGCCCGTGAGTCTTATACTTTGATTAATGTGACTCCGTTTCGTATTGTATATGCTCTATATGATAATTTCTATTGAGGAATATGACTTGTGGAAGTATTATTGTTAATTGAACATGGTAGAGCGTGGCTCAAGTTGAGAATTGAATTGTTGAACATTGTAGAGCATTGACTCAAGTTGAGAATTGGATTGTTGAACATTGTAGAGCATTGGCTCAGGTTGAAGTTCGGATTCACCATCCACACATAGGAATTTCGATCGACCTCGTAGGGAAAACTACAAAGATTCAAGACCGAACAAGGAAAGATATCGGCCATATCAGGATGATAGGAGGCCTAAATTTACGAGGAACGACCGCGGCTATGAGAGGAACAGAAGACCGTTACCGAAGGCCAACCTCGGGAAAGCCGTCGATAGACAGGAAGCACCCCGATTAGCTGAATATAATTTCAGTGTCGATTCGGCTACCCTGGTGTCGGCGATCGGACGTATCAAAGAAGCCCGATGGCCCAAACCCGTACAGTCCGATCCATCGAGGAGGGATCCCAAGTTAATATGTAAGTACCACAACACACATGGCCACAGAACCGAAGATTGCAGACAACTGCGGGAGGAAGTCGCCCGGTTGCTCGATGAAGGTTACCTTCGAGANATGGAAAGAGTTGACCGAAGATTTTACTTTTGAGCAAACGACCCCAAATTGGAATTTTAATGATGTCAATAGCTTCGTATGGTGATTTCGGACTTAGACGTGTGTCCGAATTTGGATTTGGAAGTCCATAGGACAATTCGGCGCATTTTGGCGAAATAAGAAAGTTGACGTGTTCTAATTATATCATTTTATATGTGGAAGAGGTCTATTACCATGATGGATACCAAATGGATATGATAGCAAGTGTACGAGGCGTACTATAAGATATATGGGGTCTAAGGAAAGTCCTAAGTCCAAGCCAAGTTGGAAAATTACATAATAGACTAAAGTTGCAAATGAGTACGTGCAAGACCTCAGTTTGGACGATCATATCTACATGGATATAACGAGTTGTATGATGCACAACCTATCAAATTAAAGCTCTTTGAGTCTAGTTTCCAGAGTGTCAAACCGTTCATCAATTGGACATTTGTACAAAAGGTTATCATTGATTTACTGAAGGCTGGTAATGCTGTGTTCTGGGGCAGTGTAAATCGCAAGTACCAAATGCGATTTACAAGTCGGTACTCGCGATTTACAAGTCACATTTGACAACTGCGACTTGCCTGGACAGATTACAAAACGCAAGTTTCAGTCATTTTTAACACATTTGGAGCTATGGAGCTCGGATTTCGGCGATTTCAAAGGGAGTTTTTCACGATTTCGACTTGGGTAAGTGTTCTATATCCGGAAGTGATTACATTTCATAAATGTATATCAATATTCAACGTTTATTTCGGATTTGGATGAAAGAAATTGTAGTTTTTGTAAAACTTTCCAAAAATAAAAATTTAGGATTTGAAGGTCCATTTGACATCGGAATTCGATAATTTTTGTATGGTTGAACTCGTATCGGAATGGGTTGTCAGATTTTATGAGTTTCGTCGGATTCCGAGACGTGGGCCCCACGAACAATTTTGAGCTAAATTTCGGATTTTAATTCGGAAAATGTGTAAATTCATATGGAATTAGTTCCTACGATTCGTGTTGAGTATTTTGAACTATTATGACTAGATTTGATGCTTCAGACGAATTCGCGAGGCAAAGGCTTGTTGGAAGTTTGAATTGGTAGCAACGCGAGGTAAGTGTTTGGTCTAACCTTAGCTTGAGGGATTAGGAGTTGTGTCCTAGTTGTTATGTGTTATTTGTTGAGTACGACGTATAGGCATGGTGACGGGTATCTATACGTTGGTGTCAAGCATGCCCGTGAGTCTTATACTTTGATTAATGTGACTCCGTTTCGTATTGTATATGCTCTATATGATAATTTCTATTGAGGAATATGACTTGTGGAAGTATTATTGTTAATTGAACATGGTAGAGCGTGGCTCAAGTTGAGAATTGAATTGTTGAACATTGTAGAGCATTGACTCAAGTTGAGAATTGGATTGTTGAACATTGTAGAGCATTGGCTCAGGTTGAGAATTGAATTGTTGTACTATTGTTCCCTTCTCAGGATGTTATTATTTTGATGCTGTTTTCCTTGCCGGGATTTGATTGTTGTACTATTGTTCCTTGCCGGGATGTTATTATTTATATGTTGTTTCCCTTGCCGGGATTTGATTGTTGTACTATTGTTCCCTTGCGGGATGTTATTGTTTTGATGTTGTTTCCCTTGCCGGGATTTGATTGTTGTACTATTGTTCCCCTGCCGAGATGTTATTGTTTTGATGTTGTTTCCCTTGCCGGGATTTGATTGTTGTACTATTGTTCCCTTGCCGAAATTTTATGATTGATGATGATTTGTAAATGGGATCGGGTTGCACGCCTGCAACGAGATATATGAAATGGGAGCGGGTTGCACGCCTGCAACGAGATATGAAATGAAAGTGAAATTTTGTGTTTGTTTTCCTTATCCTTGTTAGTAATTGGATTTTGGTTCCGTGCACTTTCTGTTTGTTGTGTTTACTTGTTATTAACATTTCAAGTGTGTTAACTGTTTAGATCTCTTTACTGTCGTGATCCTTTGTGTTGGAATTCATAGTGTTTATAATACTTCGCCTTATTTTTTCTTTTATATGTTCAATACTTCAAATTTCAACAATTGTTATATTTTTAACTCGATGGATTTCTCAACTAAATTTTTCTTAAACCGTTTGAGGTTGTACTTTACTTAAAAAGAAATTTCTACTATGTTTTGATTTATTGATTTCTCGTATTAAAGGTAATGATTCATTCGATATTGTACTTTAATTGAAAAGGGTATATTCTTTATCAAATGATTTCTAAAAATAACTTCACCTTTTCTTGTTGATATCCTAATTGAGTTGGAAACTGTACTCTACTTTATGTTAAGTGAATGAGGCTCCTTGAACATTCTTAATGGTATTGGGTATGGAACCTATGAACTGAGTAATATGAGAATACTGTTGTACAACGTGAGATAGAAATATGTGGGCGCAAGGTGCCGGGGAAATTATTATGGTGTTGTTTAATGGCACGTGAGTCGTCCGTGCAATCGTGATATAAATATGGGCACGAAGTGCCGTGAAAATGTGAAAGTGGGCCGAGACCTATATTATTTATGATTTTGAAATGAGGCGTCACAAGGTGAACTTTACTCGAAAGTAAGTATATTCGAAATATATTTATTGAAAAGCATAGTATCTTAGAGATTATTACTTGAAGGATTTATAGGCAAAAGATTTATATTTGAAGGACTTGATTAATTGATTGCACTTGTACTTATTATTTGTTGAGAAACATTTATGACGTTCTTGTTGCCTGCTATTTATATCATTGGTTGATCATTGTTGTCCCCATTATTATCTGCTTCCTATTATTTTGTACGCTATATTACACAGGTTTATTTGGTAGCCTGGTCCTAGTCTCGTCACTACTTCGCCGAGGTTAGGCTAGGCACTTACCAGCACATGGGGTCGGTTGTGCTGATACTACACTTCTGTACATTTTTATGTACACATTCAAGTGGATTGATAGTAGCTGTGTGGGTCATCGCGGTGGAGACTCAAGGTAAACCTGCTACAGCGTTCGCAGGTCTTGGAGTCACCTTCATTTGTATTTAGTTCCATTTGCTCCTTTGTTTCGGGGCAGTGATGTATTATTTTGTGAAATTACTCTTAGATAGGCTTGTGACTTGTACCACCGGTTTTGGAAATTGTAAATTGTCAAGAGTTATTGAATTTAAAGTTGGCAAATATCAATGCTATTTCAGTTTATGTTAGGCTTACCTAGTTTAGAGACTAGGTGCCATCACGACTCCTTCGGAGGGATTTTGGGTCGTGACATCTCACCTCCCAAGGCCAACCTCATCTCCTCTTAAAGTTTTATTAGTATGTATATCCATTCAATGCTTTAGCTTTTATTTCCATTAGGTTACCTAAAATGTTGGTATTAAGCACTTGATTTTCCTCTGCCGACCTCTCCTGAAAGCAACATTACCGTACCTGATTCGCAAGATTCCGAGGCCTTATGAACGCTCGTTCTACTACCGTTTTGCTTCGTCTCTCTGGCTCTTCCCTCTCCAGGTCAGTTGCCTGTACAATATTAGCTGAATTTTTCCAAAAAATTTTCTTTGTTTCCCCCACCTTTTCTGATTATAAGTGTTATTTAGATTCAAGATTGTGTTGATTTTTAATTTGAAGAATGTCTCCTTACGCTGTTTTGAATCTGGCATGGAAGACTTACGTAGCTTCCGTCTTAAATTTAAGCTAATTGGTGATATATTGCTACGCCTCTACTTTGCTTGTTCCGCTTTGCTCTTTCCATGGTTTAATTTTGGTATTCATTTGTTTCAACTCTTTTAAAAGTGCAATGACATCAGATTTGAGTTTGTATTTTTGATACTACATCCAGACTTGCATTAGAGATGTTTGAGAATTGCCCGAAAGAAACTACCAACTATGTGGACTCTTTTAGGGAGCTCTTATACCACTGTATTCTTTTACCTCATCTATCTCTATGTTCGTATTTATAATCATATCATTAAATTAAGAAATGAGAATATTAAAAATGTATCTCTACTTTCACCATCAAACATTTTAGCTTTAGCTTATTAATTATTAAAATAAAATGCAGATGGTGCACTATTGAACATGAAAGTGTTGCTGAACTGTGATTACTTGTACCACCAAAGCACAAAAAATTATGAAATAGTCATTAAAAAATCCAATGCAGCCCACTTAACGAAATATATATCTATTTTAACTTATGGCCAAATATTAGTGCAGTTCCCTTTTGTTTTCTAGGGCATGTGCTATCCTCCTTTTTTTTTTTTAATGAAAGTTTGTGTTATAACAAAATACAGTAAACTATTCTAAATTAGTTGTAGTTAGCTAAGATAATTCAAAAGAGCCTCTGTCTTATTATAAAAACTGACATTTATAAACAATATTCATATAGGTGAAGTATCTTGTTTTTTTTTTTTTGTTTTTTTTTAATTTCTTACCCTCTTTTATTATTTATTTTAGCTAGTTTAATTAAGTATTAGTTCATACTTAATGATAAATAGTTTTTGTGTGCTTTATTTTATTTCATGCTAATTTTTTAGTGCTTTTCTCGTTAGTTTCGTTGTTAACTTTTCACTACTTTTTGAAAAGATTATCCAAACACAATTTGCTTATTAAAATACTTCTTAAATGAAGTGGCCAAACACGAACTATAATTTTTCAAAAGTACTTTTTAATTTTTGAGCAAAAGCACTTTTCAAAATATAAGTAGTTTTGGTCAGCTTGGCCAAACGGGCAGTAAGTACTAAAGCTATTACTACTTATTAAGTAGCTAATTGATTTGTTGAATAAGAAGCAGGGGTACCGCGGGCACAAGAGGAGGCGCCAAAACCCAAAAAGGCGTGAATATTTACCTTAACAAGACGATTTTGTGGTTAAGGAAAACGGGCTCTCCTTTTCATTGTATGTATAAGAAAGTGGGTAGGGGACCGAAAATTAGTGTGAGATGAATAAATAGTCGTAAAACTACACGTGTGAGGACTGAAATGTGTAAGTCACTTGGTGGGAGTGAAGTGGTCCTTCAGTGCTGTGACGACCTGGCCGGTCGTCTCATGAGTTACCGGTCAATTTTCCCCATTTCTGCTTCTTATTGCTTTGTTCATCTGTGTTTTGAGGTATCGGGTTGGTTGGATTGAAATCCGGTTTGGTTTTGGTGAAGTTTGAGACACTTAGTCTCTTTTAAGGAAGTTTAAGTTGGAAAAATCAACCAGATGTTGACTTATGTGTTAGAGGGCTCGGATGTGAGTTCCGATGGTTCGGTTAACTTCGGGAGGTGATTTATGACTTAGGAGTGTGATCGAAATGGGTTTTGGAAGTCCGGAGTAGAATTAGGCTTGAATTGGCGAAGTTGATATTTTGGCGATTTCCGGTTGATAGGCGAAATTTTGATATAGGGGTCGGAATGGAATTCCGAGAGTTGCAATAGCTTCGTTGTGTCATTTGGAATGTGTGTGCAAAATTTCAGGTCATTCGGACATGGTTTGGTTGGGTTTTTGATCAAAAGCGTATTTCGGAAGATTTTAGAAACTTAGGCTTGAATTCAATGTGTTTTGGGTGATTTGATGTTGTTTGAGGTGTTTTGATGACTGGAACAAGTTTGAATAAGGTATTAGGATGTGTTGGTGCGTTTGATTGAGGTCCCGGGGGCCTTGGGTGAGTTTCGGGTGGTCAATCGGATCATTTTGGAGTTTGGAAAATTGCAGAAAATCTGCTCAGCTGTTGCAGAGATTTATCCCTTCGCGTTCGCGAGTGGAGCATCGCGCTCGCGTGGAAGGATTTGAGGAAGGCCAGAATTAAGCCTTCGCGTTCGAGAGAGGGGCTTCACGTTCGCGAAGGGGTTGGGTAGTTGGTCATCGCGTTCGCGAGATGGACCTCGCGATCGCGTAGAGGAATTGGATCAGTTGTGGTTTGAGGTCAAATGTTCATCACGTCCGCGGAAGGGTGAGCGCGTTCGTGAAGAGTGGTCTGAGAAAGGCATCGCGTTCGCGGCTGTCATGTCGCATTCGCGTAGAGCAAAAGTTGGTCAATGTAAGTTTGTGCTTCACGAACGCGAGGCGTTGACCGCGTTCGCGAAGAAGGAAAGTCGGGCCAGGGCAGAATGTTTTTAACTCGTCTTGTTCGCGAATGTGAGTCTATTTTCACCCATAGCTGCTCGTTTTCGGAGATTTTTGAAGGAGATTGAAGAGGGATTCAAGGGAAATCGTTGGGAGGTAAGATTCTTGGACTAAAAACTCGATTATTATGTAAATTTCACCTAGAAAATCATGAAAACTAAGCCAAAAATTGAAGAACTAGGGCTTGAGAAATTGGACTTTTGATTTGGGATTTAAAGGGTCATTGGTGGACGGATTTTGATATTTTTGGTATGTATGAACTCGTGGGAAGATAAGGAACCCATTGGTGTAAAAATTTCTAAGTTTCGAGAAGTGGGCTCGGGGCTCGGGTTTTGGTAATTTCGGGATTTGTGCCATTTATTGATTGTTTTTGCTTGGGTTTTGTTCCCTTGGCACATTTTGACGTCCTCGTTATGATTTTGGATAGATTCAACGCGCGTGGAGGCCAATTCGAAGGGCAAAGGCGTCGCGAACTAGAGATTTAGCCGGTTCGAGGTGAGTAATGATAGTGAATGATGTTTAGTGGGTTTGAAACCCCGAATTGCTCATCGTAATGCTATATTGAGGTGAGGCACACGCTTGATGACGAGCGTGGGGTGGTGCACTATTAGGGATTGGGACTTGGTCCGTCCCGATTGAGGATTTTATTGCGTATTTGATTGAATACTATTTGTTATCATCATTTGTTGGGCTTAATGCCATATTTGGGCTTCGTACCAACTATTTGAACCCTTCGGGGCTTTTATTTGATATTTCCTCACTATTTTGACTTACTACTTGAACTCAGTTATATTAATTTCCACTGTTTTACTATTCATCCATCTTTACTCAGTTTTGAGACTTAAATGATATTTTTAAATGATGTTTGGGCTGAGAAACACTGTTTTTACTACTGCCCGAGTGGCTTGTGATGACTTTTGACTGAGTAAGGCCGAGGGTCTATATTGTGAGGAGACATTGATACTGATTGGAGGCCGAGGGCCTAAGATATGTACGCCACGAGGTGGCTTGATTGATATGAGGCAGAGGGCCTAGGTTTGATGCCACGAGATAGCTTGTTATTGCGCTTGGGCTGTAAGGGGCCCCTCCAGGAGTCTGCACACTCCCAGTGAGCGCGGGTACCCATTGTGATGTGAGATTGAGCCCGAGGGGCTGTTACTGTTGTGAGATGCTGCCCGAGGGGCGGATGTGGTGTTACTGTGCCCGAGGGGCGAACTTCTATTTGATTACTTTTCCTTAATTACCTGTTAATTACTTGGTTACTTGTTGTAAGGGGAATGATCTGATTTTTCACTGTTTTACTGTTTCTTAAATGATTTTATTGCTTCATTATAGAATGCCTTGTGCCTTACGTGTTTTTATTTTTACTTTCAGTCATTATTTATATTCGTTACTCACTGAGTTGGAGTACTTACTTTACTCCCTGCCCCCTGTGTGCAGATTCAGGCGCATCTGGTCCCGCTCCCGATGCTGATTCATTCCAGCTTCAGGCGGATCTTCGAGGAGTCTTTAGGTAGCTGTTGGCGCTCGCAGCCTGGAGCTCCTCTCTATCTATTTCTTTTATGGTCTTAGTTCAGTATTTTAAGCTCTGTAGTTACATTTGAGGATTTGGTATTGTTAGATGCTCGTGACTTGTGACACCCCGGTTTGGGCTGTATCAGGTTGGATTTTTTCGCATTGTTATCGATATTTCCGCTATGCAGTATTATTAAATCATGTTTAGACTATATTGTGTTGGTTAACTGCTTTAAAAGACGAATTGGGTTAAACTGGCTGGCCTTGTCTTCACGAGAGTCGCCATCACGATCGGGTTCGGGGTTAGAGTCGTGACAAGTGCTGTTTGTGTCTTGGCTAGTTCTGTTTTTACACTATGTTTTATGTAAATAAGTAAATTAGCATTGTACAAAGGAATCAAAGGGCAGAGGCCATTGATTATCTGTCGAATCCGTCTGACCTCAAAACAAATCACATAAAAGCCACACGTGAGGCTACTACTCAATGTTTATACTGTACTCGGGTCATGCCACTTAAAAGATGCTATTGCTCACTTTTTTAACCCGTCTAATAATAACCTAGTTGATTGACTACCTAAACTTTCACTTTTCACTTTATTAGTGAGGTTTCGATTTCTCAATCTTCACTTTATACTCCCCGTTCAACTCTTCCTTATGTATAGTTTGATTTTATTTATTTCCTTCATTTATACGTTAGTTTTCTTTAATATTGGACTAAATCACATATTAATTAGAGCAACATAAGCTGTTTGGGATATAAGTGTATCCTGCTAGGTAAACCTAGTACGACGAGCTCGGGCTGAAGAGGCTGCTAGTAGGTCCCAGTTGTTATACCATCAAACATTTTAGCTTTAGCTTATTAATTATTAAAATAAAATGCAGATGGTGCACTATTGAACATGAAAGTGTTGCTGAACTGTGATTACTTGTACCACCAGAGCACAAAAAATTATGAAAAGGCCATCAGAAATCAATGCAGCCCACTTAAAACCAACTTTAATGTAGAGTGAACCTTACCCACAACTTGATTGTAGAGCTGTTTCAAGGAAAGAGAAAATTTAATTCTCGATAATTTTTAAGGGAACAAATATGTCTTTTACGTGTACTTCAATCCCAATCTCCGAGTTTAAATTAGTCGACACTTCGATAAGTTTTGAAGTAGGGGGCATTTGTAGGCATATAAATTTTATTAAAATTAAATTCATAAAATAATTTGGACTATATTTTAGATTCAAGATAGATTAGTCCAAATAAATATTATGGGCTAATATAATTGAATTAATTTATACTATATTAAAAGCTCGAAGACCCTTAGTGAAATGGCGATATCTTTTTTACCCTTTTAAAGTAGAGTTCACATTAGACAAAATAGTCATTTGATTATTTTTCTAAAATTTACATCCTTAAAATCAGCTAAAAATTTGGTATTGAATTTTTTTCTTATTCGAATTTTATGATAAGAAAATAATATTCATTGTGGAATGTTGGAGTATTTCCTAGCTGAAAAGTCTTGTGTTTAATACGTGTTATTTCTTAGCTGTTATTCTTGTTAGTATTTTAACACCAACTATTCCTCGGGTTAATTTGTAGTTAGTGGTATAAGTTTACTTACAATGAAGGGTTTTAATACATTTAACTATGAAAACTCAACCTAATTAATGTTATTACTCTCAAGAAAACATTAAATTCATGGTTGAAAGAGCCAAATAACTTATGATGAGAGCATGGGGGATGGGCTACTTTGGATGCTGATTATCTGATATCTGGTGTTGTTCTTCGCGTTCGCGTGGAGCCTCTCGCGTTCGCGAAGAAGAATTTGGCTTCTGGAAGTTCATTCCCGGAATGTCCCACATTGGGGGCCAAAGTGCTCCCTAACAAAGGCGACTCCATACCCAGGGGCTCCCTAACAAGCGTTCCCTTATTCACTAGTTATTACTATTATCTTCAACATATATGTGATCAGAGAAGTCTCATTGTGCCGCACTCTTTGGAGGAAATTCAGCACATATATTTATAGACTATAATTTATACGCCTGCAATATTAACTTTGATGCACTTATTATATATACACACAGTGTTTTGCCTGTTGAGAAATTAAGCAGTTAGTTTATGTCATCAAACCTTGTATTGCTACAGCTTTATGCTGGATAAATAGACTCAGTAGAGACTATCCTGCATAGTCAAATCATCAAAGTATAGTTTCGTGCTTCAAATGCTACTACTTTGAGGCATCAGGTCTAGATATGGTGACGGTGAGTAAATGGGCTGGATGGGCATATTTAAAAAGGATAAACTAAAAAATTGCTTATCTTTAAGACTTAACTATTGGTAAACTCTTCTGCTTGAGATCTTTGTTGATTAAGCTAAAATTCGATACAAGTAGTGTTTTGCCTGTTGAGAGATTAAGCAGTTAGTTTATGTCAGCAAACCTTGTATTGTTACAGCTTTCTGCTGGATAAATAGACTCAGTAGAGACTATCAGGCAATACTGCATAGTCAAATCATCAAAGTATAATTGATATCACCCGACGATTTGCTGCGTGCTTGTACTCTCTGGGAGATATAACTTTATTGTTGCGATTTTACAGAATTGATATCACCCGACGATTTGCTACGTGCTTGTTCTCTCTGGGAGAAGTTTGACGTGTATGCCTCCCTTTTTTCCCTACATACACCTGTGTTGCAGGCACACATGTGCACACACATATTCTTTCTTTATATATATATGTATGCACACACACGCGCACACACACATTCAACCTTGAACCTGTCCCAAAGAAAGTAGTGGAACTTGGATCAACAAGCAATAGTCTTCTCTTCTTAAGATACGTAGTGGCTCATTCTTTGAATTGTGAGGATGTATGCAAATTTACCAATAGGGAAGAATTTTGTTTAGTTGAGTCCAAGCACTCAAAAGTTCTGTGACATATTGAGCCAACACTTTAAACATATTTTGTAAAAACAGACCAAGCTTTTAATAAGTATGGGCTATGTGTTTCCTGGGTAAAAGGACTAAGTTTACAGTGGACAGAGTAACTCATATTGTACTTCAACTTTGATATCCTCTTTTGATATCTTATCGAAGTGATTTCTGTTTGTTTCTTCCCCCTCTCCAATTTGTTATTTCTACATTATCAACGTCTTCTTTAATCCATTTATTAGAGCATGTTTATTGGAATGTAAAAGTAATTTTAGTTGTACCTCTTTCCTGTAATATCTTCTGGTATTTTCTTTCATGTGTAAAGTTCTGTTTTCCTCGATCAAAATTCTATTCAAACTTTTAAAAGAGTAGTCCATTGGTTCGAAGTAAATATGTGTTAAACTCCTCTAACAAGTTCTTATCATAAATAACAATTTTAGCTGATTGATAAAGATCTTTATTAATTCTCCATTTGTTTCTCTTTTTTAGGTGTACTATTTTTTTCACTGTTTGTTTTCTAATTTTCTTTGCAAGTGTTAATATTTTAACATAGAAAATGCGAATCGCAATTGCACTATTCATGTACTTTTGTAATAATTAGATTATTGATGTAACTGTCATTGGCTTGGTAATTGAAAATTATCCATATCATTGATACATTGCAAGTATCACCAACAAGTTACTAATGATATGCAGAAACAATTAATTTATGCTGAAGTTGAGGGGGGCTGAGGAATTTTTTGTTCTCTCTTTCTGATTTGCCTTGTGCTCGATTTGATATTAATAGTGTGAAGATAGTTCATTATGTTACTAGCCGAGGTTTTCCTATGTGGGTCAAGTGGATTTTCAATTAGTTCTCCATAGATATATTTGTTTTTTGTTTTGTTTGTTTTTTTTTTTTTTTTTTTTTTTTTTGACAGCCCTCCTTGTAACTAATGTGTTTTGTAGATTTTTTTATATCCACAAGATCAAAATTTCATGATATCAATATATATACCACTTTCAAATTTAAATCTTCTTCACCACATTGTTGCAATAAACTAATTGAGCACCACATTGTGATATGCATAGTAGAGAATTGACATATATATATTTTTAAATTTTAAGTTGAATGGAGAAATGGACAATTACATCGAAGGATGATCAAAGATAGGCATCAATAGCTCTTCATCATATGTAAAAATGCTCTCCTACTTATTTCGGGTGCAAAACTCTTCCTGAATTTCAAACATCTCCTTAAATTATTTTATGAGCTAATTATATCCAGTGAGTATAGTTAAATCCACTGCACGACCCATAGCTACCCCTTTTATTTGAACCTTCTTAAGGGATGGAAAATATTTTGATTGATATCTTTGAAGGCTGCAATAAGCACATAAATAGGCATTTACTTTGTCATTTAATTTTAATACCTTAGTGTGACTTTTGGTAGAACAAATTTGCTTACTGGGAACCTCCTTTTGCGGTGAATGCGACTACCCTCGAGTTGTTACTTTTTTTGGAATCCACGAGTTATGCAAGTTCATATGCATTTTTCACCTGTAGATATTTGCATCCAAGTTCTTCATGAAATGTTAAAAAGAGAAATAAACTATAGTTTATATTCAAAAGACTTGACAAAAATACAAAATTATATTTTATGTTCAATCATCATGCACAATATCAATGGTTTAATGTCTAAGTTAATATGAACTCAATCACTCTCTGCCATTTCAAAAATCCAATGTCATTGCTTCAAAATTTTGTGCCTTTGTCATGTTACCATTCTAAAAAAAATGTTGTGCCTTTATCATTCTGTAACATTTATGATTAGTAATGTATATCAACAATTGTACTGCTTCAGTGCATGTAAAAATAACATGCTCAAGCTATCACCAAATTTTCAACCTACCAAAAAATACGGGAAAAAAAAACAAACAACATGCTCAAGCAATCCAACAGTAGCATCATTTATTTGATCTAAGCACATCTCTAGGCAACGAAAAATGGTAGAAGACTACTATTCATCCAAAAACAGAATTTCCATACACAAATTGTTCTTTAAGTAATGGATACACTTTATTCTTTGCAGTATACTTTCACCAATTGGTTTTCTTCTATTCATATACCAACATATTGAGTTAAGGCTCTATACGATATGGGCTTCTTCTACTAAAAGTAACCTACATTTCGTTGATCAACTATCCCCTGCATAATAGGAATCTGCTCCATCTTTTTGTACACTGTAAAGAGTGTCAAAAGAGGAAGCTTGGTAGATTTAGAGTGTCTGGCCAGGCTTAAAGTTCATTCCTTCCATTATTTTCCTTTATGTTTAAATATTTTTTTCATGTGAAGGTGTG